TGAAAATATGGTTGGCGTTGCATTTGTTAACAGAGGCGCAGTGGAAGCCATTGAAAAGCTTGTGCTGGATATCGCCAAAATGTTTAAGCAATTCACATAATTTCAATTAAATACTTTATTTCAAATATATTTGTTTAATTTTGAATAATAAACTTATAAAACTTTATTTATAATTTATAAAAGTTGGCATATAATTATTGTTTAAATGAATTTGACTTATTTTTTAATTTGAAATTAACGTATTAATAAACCTAATACGGTATTTACTATTGATTTTGTAATTACTAAAACTGTATAATGATACTATGACAATTTTAAATACAAATTTGTAAATGAAAATCGGGTTCAAAAAATTATATTATTTCAATATTCATGGTTAACTTTTTTTGTATTAAAAAATTATATATATTGTAGTGTTGGACAGATATATTGTATGACTTATTTGCTATGACTTTCATAAGTTTATGTTAACAGCAGTCAAACAGTAAACTTCGGGTCCGGCGCCTGCTTTTAATGCAGTTCCTCTTTTCAATGATTTCTACTCCCTTTCCCTCATTTATCTGATATAATAATAAGTTATTGAAAAAACAACTAGAGTAAACTTCATTGCTTGAACCTTGTATATAGTTAAATTATCTTTAAAAATAAAATTAATATTTTTTATTTCGTTAATAAGTTTAAATTGTGACCAATAATTTTCATATGTGTTTTGAGTTTGAAATGATAGCCTAACAAATAATTTAAGTTTGAGAATATTGTAATTACAGTAAAATAATTTCACTAAAATTCATTATTTGCACAATGTTTCAATATTTATTGAAACCAATGTCAAATAAGTAAGGTCTTGATGCCCAACATGTGAAGTATATGATTCATTTACCGTTTATTTAATACAAATTGATATGTGATAAAGAGTCTAGGTTCAGTACATAGTCTATTCAATAGGCTGACTTGTGAGTCTATTGTTCCAAATGTACTAGTACAGTATCACAAGAGTTATCAGTGATAAGTTATCACAATATTTCAAAATATATTTCACTAGTATTTTGCAAATTATTATTAAACCTTAAGATAAGTTAGCTTTCTAATTAATAAATTTAGATATTAGTAATACTGATTAATACCGTACATGTTACCAATTAATATTATATAATTATGAATCATATTTTATTGATATTATATCAGAATTGAGTATAAAAACAAACAATTAAAAGTCTTTTCAGTAATTAATCATATTTTATTAAATAGTAAAATACAATATAATAAAAATGTATATTAAAGCTTTTCTTTTCATATTATTATCGATTAATTTTTCACAAATTTTTAGTTTTGAAAGAGTCGGTGAAGACTTTGATTCAAATGGAAAGTACGACTCACTCGATGACGTGATAAAAGATGCCCGGGTACAAATGAAAGCATTTATGGATTTTAATCAAATACCCGGAGCTGTGATGGCATTCAGTATAAACGGCACGAATGTATGGACGGAAGGCTTCGGTTATACGGATATCGAGAATAATGTCTCAACACATAAGGACTCCGTTTGGCGTTTGGCATCAATTAGCAAATATATGGACGGAAGGTTTCGGTTATACGGATATCGAGAATAATGTCTCAACACATAAGGACTCCGTTTGGCGTTTGGCATCAATTAGCAAATCATTGACTTCAGCACTGGTCGGGCAGCTCATGGATCGACATCTCATTGATCTGAACGCAGAGATCCATAAATATCTGTCAAAAGATTTCTATCCGTTTAAGACATTCAACGGATCGGCAGTTAATATAACCGTTCGGGAAGTCATGTCTCATACGGCAGGCCTTCATATGAGTGACTATCCCGAAGATTTTGACAAATACTTGATAAGACGTGCGGATAATGTAAGTCATAATATCAAACCTTTCAAAGACGAGCCCTTACTGTCCAAACCGGGAACTGAATTCAGTTATTCAAACTATGGCTTCCAAATGGTTGGCGCTATCATTGAGTCCATACTTCACAACACATATGAGAATGAAATTAAGAAAATGTTTACACAATTACACATGAATTCAACATTTGCTGAGAGACGAGAAATGATTGTTAAACACAGACCACAATACTATCAATTATCAAACCAAACATCCGGGACATTGCAAAAGTCTGATATAATCGATGAATTGATTTCATACGAGGGTTCGTGGCCCGCAGGGGGTATCATATCAACGGCTGACAATATGTTACGGTTTGCAAATGCTATGCTATCTGCATATCATGGCAATGATCAAGGTAATGGTAGTTTAACATTATATTTATAATTTGCTTTATACTGCATTTGATTAAAAAACACTCATTTTTATAAATGTTTAAAGATTTCTTAAGTCAAAAAACAGTACAGGAGTTGTGGACACCGGAAACCATTGGCAAAATTAAACCCGATTGGATGGGTGATAATGAATATGGTATTTCTAGTAATACAATAAATAAATTAAAATTAAT